CCTCATCCTCCTGCCTTCTGAGTGGTCGCCTTTCCCCACTTCTACACAGCCCTGCCTGTCTGTTGTGAAGGTCTTACTGCCAGCGCCGCCGACCCTGAAGACGAGGGCGACGAGGAGGAGGAGGAGGAGGAGGAGGAGGAGGAGGAAGCGGAGGACGCGGTGGAGCAGCAGGCGGGGGAGGAGGAGGATATGGAGGAGGATGAGGAGGGGGAGCAGCGGCAGGGAGAGGACGGGGGAGGAAGGAGCAGTAGGAGGAGGAGGAGAATGGGAGCCGAAGAAGCAGGAGAAGAAGGAAGACGCGGAGGAGGGGGAGGAGGGGCAGGAAGGGGAGGAGGATGGGAAAGACGAGGTCGAGGTCAGGTTGCGGAGGGCTGGAAGAAGGGCACACGAAGTAGGGGGGAGCATGAGGAGGAGGAGGAGGAGGAGGAGGAGGAGGCGGAGGAGGAGGAGGAGGAGGAGGAAGATGATCAAGAGGAGGAGGAGGAGGAGGAGGAGGCGGAGGAGGAGGAGGAGGGGGATGCGAAGGAGGGGAATTAGGATGAGGGAAAGGGTGAGGAACAGGAGGAAGAGCAGGAGGAACATGAGGAGGAGGAGGAGGAGGAGGAGGAGGAGGAGGAGGAGGAGGACGCCGTGGAGCAGGAGGGGAATGATGAGGAAAAGCATGCGGAGGAGGATGCGGAGGGGGAGTTGGGGCAGAAGGACATCGAGAAGGGCAATGAGCCGGTGCAGAATGGAGCAAATGCCGAAGAGGCGCAAACGAGTCATGAGTGCCCGACGGGAAACAAGGACGCACGCACGAGCACGCACACAGTACACAGAGACGCCACGCCCGCACACGTGCAGACCACGAGGCACGGGGCGAGCACACCTTCTGTGCAAACAAGTGCAAACACACGCGTGCGTGATTAGTCACAGGAGGAGCCCGATGTGGAGGGCGGCGGGGGAGGGGGCGCGGTCCCTGCAGTCGGACGGGAAGGGGGCGCGTCGGTCGCGCGCAAGGCAGCAACCACCGCGCGAAGCGCGCCAGCCTCCTCTCTCGATCCCCCACCGCCCACCGACGTCGGCGGGCCGACCCCACCTCCCCGCTCCTCCCCATTGCCCTCAAACGCCCAGGCGGCCTCCTCGTGGCACGGTTCGGCAAACCGCAGAGGGGCACAAGCGGCGCTCCCGTCGTCGGGTGCCGCCCTTGCCTCGCCCGCTCGAGAGCAATCTCTGCACCCTCTCTCAAGGGGCGGAAGAGCCACCCAGACCGGACAACTTGCGTTTACTAAACGGCCCTGGGCGCTTACTAAGCAGCCTTGCCCTGCTTGAGTCTTTCTTTGGGCGTGTTTACTAAAAACGGCTTCGCGTGTCGGGGTGGTTATTTCATCGGGGGGGGGGATTTTCTGCCCTCTGCTCTCCCCTCCGGCAGCCACTCGGCCCCGCCCCACCTCCCCTTTCCTCGGGCTGCAGGCACGCGCATGGGCCCCCCGAGAGGCGACCGTGGGCGCCCCGCGTGCGCTCCGCACGCCGAGCAGATCGGGACACGGCCGAGCTCCTGGGCCCGGTGCCCGGGCCCGAGCACGTGGGGATCGCACGCGCGGGGGGCGAGGGACCTCATCAGGGGCAACGATAGGGGGGGATAGGCATAGGGGGGGACGCATCGACCCCCAATCGCCCATTGATCGCCGATAGGGGTCTGATAGCACCAACGCACCAACCCGCCCAGGAAGGTGCGGGTTCACTATCAGGGGCCTGTCGCCGATGCATCGGCGATGTATCGCCGATTCCAGGTCGATGCATCCCCCCCTATGCCAGCCCCCCCTATCGTTGCCCCTCACCTCAAGGAGGAAGGGGTGGTGGCTCGTCGCCAGCAGGCCTTGCACCCAACAGCGCCCTCGGGAAAGCCAGCTAAACGTGGGCGGTCGGCTTCTGCTCTCGATGGGCCCGCTGGGCAGGAGCGATCGGGCGGCGCACGACGGGAGTAACGAGCTCAGCCACTCGTTCAGCCGCGAACGCCAGACACCTCATGCGCTGCTTGGCCTGCTCCAGCTGAAACTTAATCGAGCGAACCACCGACGACGATCCCGAGACATCGAGCGCGTTTAACTTCACGAAACAGTCAGCCCACATTTTTCCCGAAACAAACTGTCCAGCGCCTCTCCCGAAGCGAGGCACGCTTCGATGCCCTCGTTCACAGACCTGTGAGCCCTGGTCCAGGAGAAACGGGGGAGACGCTCAATATCATTCGCATATAACTGATGGGGGCGGCGCCACACGCAGGGGTGAGGAGCCATTGGCTTCGCATGCGCATCGAGTCGGACCACTGGCCTCCTTCCTGCGCCAACGCCAAGTATCAGTCGCATATTCCGGCGGCCTGGGCGCGTACTCCAGCCCGAGCAGCAACCCTCTCGGCCTTGGGGGCCGTTCCGATGGGCCCCTCAAGGCCGCCAACCATAGTTCTGAAGAGAATCAGATTCGGTGAGAGGGCCACCACAGCCCAGCCACACCGCCTGGCCTCGGGAAAATCGCTGTCAAAACAAGAGCCGTCACCGTACACCTTGCTGGGCCACGGAACCGACTGAGCACCCCATGCTTTAACAGGCAAAGTGCTGGGCTCAGCGGGCTGAAAAGCAGGCCCCAGGGGCATGGCGTAGAGCAGGTCGGTTGACGAGAAGTCCCGCTCCACGCCTGCTCCTGATTGTCCTACGCCCCAGATGTTTCTCCTCACGTACACCACGTCGTTGGGATACGGCCCTTGCGCGGTCAGCGGAATCAGCGACGGCGAGCTGAAGCAGATGAGGAGTGCCGCAGGCAGTCTCTGTGGCTTCAACGGATCGGGCTCTCTCACGTCGTACCCGGCAGTGCAGTAGCAGCGGAATTTTGACCCGATCTGCTTTGCGACTTGGAGTACCTTGCAGCAGTGCTCCGCGTGGATCTGGGACCTCCGTGGATGGCGCTGAGGGACCAGATCGCTGATGCCAACGGGCTGCTTTCTTGGGCTAATGCCAACGGACCGCGCTTTGTGCGTTGGCTCTCGCTGAGGCGAGTCGGCTGGGACATGCTCAGCGCAGCAGTGCTGGTGGACGACCTCGGCATCGCCATCAACCTACTGCGAGCGAGCCCCAGTGAGGGGAAGCACCACATGCAGCTTGGAGCGGTGGCAGAGCCATCGCATTCTGGACCATCTGCCTGGCGCGCCTCCTCGTGATGATGTCGGGCAACGACAGCACACTTGGATGTGCGCCCCAAGGCAGGGCCACTTGCAGTCTTTATCTGGTGGCCTGCGAGGGGGCCTTGGCCAAGCTGCAGTCCGACGGCATGTGGGCAATGGGCAGGTCGAGGACGAGGAAGACGAGGCGGAGGAAGAGAAGAAGGAGGATCAAGAGCAGGGGGCGGAGAGGATGCTTGTCGGGGTCTCTTCGGAGCGCTTTGGGGGGCCTCTGGTGCACGGTTCGGGGGCGTCTTGGGAGACTCTTCGGGGGCCTCCAGGGGCTTCCTGGGGGCTTCTTGGGGGCGTCTTCGACGCTTCTTAGGGCCTCCTGAGAGCTTCTCCTGGGCGAGGGATGGGAATGTCCGTTCGTCAGAGCGTGAATTACCTACCCCGCTTTCGCTTCCAGGCAAAACCAAGCCATACCACGCGCCTCCTCGTCAAGCGGCCTGACCAGTATAGGCTGCAATTTGGCATCGTTTGGTATCTCTTGGAAGCGAGGGTGGTCAAAAGCGAGGTAGGTTTGTTTTCCCCCTAGTTCGGGCCCCCCGTCTGGGCACCCTCTTGGAACCGTCTTGGGTGCCTCTTGGCCTGTCTTGGAGGCGTTGCGGGCCGTCGTGGGGCCCTCTTGGGCCATATTGGGAACCTCTTGGAGGAATTTGGGCAGTCTTGGGGCGATCTTGGGAGCCTCCGGGGCCGTCTTGGAGCGTCGGAAAGCGGAAGAGGCGAGAACGCCCAAATCTTTCAAAATTTTCTTAGGGAAATCAGTGATGTTTTCCTCTGAGGGTTTTCTTGGGAGTGCTCCTGGAGGCTTCTTGGGGCGTTTTGCAGACCTCGTGGCCCTTCAGGAGGCCTTGAAGGCGTCTTGGACAGATCGTTCGGCGATGCGGCGCCCTCTTGAACTGTCAGAGGGGTCTCGTCGGGCACTCTTGGTCCGTCCTTACGCTTTTTTGGGGCCCGGGACCCCCCGGGTGGAGACCCCCCGCGGGACCGAGGCGTACCTCCCCCGGGCCCCCCCCCGGGACCCGACCCCACCCCCCTTCGACGGGGGGGATCACAGGGAGGGGCTCTTGGTGATTTTTTGGGACCCGGGACCCCCCGGGAGGGATGCGCATCTGGGTGGCGGCCCCCCGAGAGACGGAGGCGCTCCTCCCCCGGGGCAGAGGCGTATCTCCCCCAGGAACCCCCCTCGGACCCTCCGCCGACGGGGGAGGGATCAAAGGGAGTGGGCTTCCATTCGATGGAGTTACGACGTTATTCAATTTCGCTTTGGCTAGCGGGCTTGGGGAAGAGGGCCCAGGAACAGGGAAATGGAGGCCGCAGGGAAGAAAGGAGCCGGCAGAGACGACGACTAACGTATGACGACTCGAACGGACAAACCCCTCGCACATGCTGACAGGGTCGGCGGATTCTCCGTTCTCGGCGCGCTCGGACGTGTAGGTCTGTTCCTCCTCATTTTTTCCTCTAACGCGCTTCCAAGCTGGGGTCCTCTTGGGCGCGCGCCGCAGCCCAGCCGACCGCGGCGCCGCCGTCGTCGTCGGCGTCGGCGTCGGCGTCGGCGTCGTCGTCGTCGCCGACGGCTCCGTCGTCGACGTCGTCGTCGTCGTCGGCGGCGGCGGTGGCGGCGTCGGCGTCGGCGTCGGCATCGTCGTCGTCGTCGTCGTCGCCGTCGCCGTCGCCGTCGTCGCCGTCGTCGCCGTCGCCGTCGGCGTTGGCGTCGGCGTCGTCGGCGGCGGCGGCGGCGGCGGACGCGGCGGCGGACGCGGTGGCGGCGCCGGCCAGGCGCGACCTGCCGCCGCTTTCGGCCGAGGCCTGGGACGCCGTGCGCCGCCTGCTGTTCGCGAACTACCCGCCGGAGAGGCGAGGCCTCCCCCGGCAGAGTCGCGCACCAACGACCCGCGACGGAGGTCACGCGCGGCGAACGCACGGTCGGGTACTCTTGGGCATCGTGGCGCGCCATCTCGTTCTGGCCCACCGCGCTGCGGCGCGACACGCTATCCGTTTCGCGGTCCTCAGGCGTCCACGCCCCGAGCCTTTCCGAGCCGCCCGCCCCGCGCGCGTGGCGAGGCGACACGCTGTCCGTTCGCAGGGGATAGTTCGCGTATCTCCGGGGCCTCCTTCTGTCCCGCCCGCAGGGTATTTGGCTAACAGACCTTATGTTCCGCCCCTCCGGTCTTCCTTCGCTTTCGTGCCTTAAGTTGCTTCGGTGCGCCCAGCCGTTTGCTCGACCGACGCTGGTTCGCTTGCGTCCGCGGAACAACAAAAACATGTCTCTGGGGCCGCCGCGGCGACACGTTATCCAAGAGTTCCCAACCGTATCCGTATCCGCGCTTTCGCGGTCTGGATTTCGGGGCGAGACCCCGCGGATACGCAGTCGCACGGATACGTCCCGCGTGGGGCGTCCGCGACAAAAGTGCCCCGTATCCGCGGGATCGCGACCCAGGGGCCCGGCCCGCGAGGCCACGGATACGGGCACCCCATAGTTTGAGTTTTTTGTTTGTTTTTTGTTGTTTGATGTGGGCGGGTTCGCGCAATTATCTTTGACTGTGCTACTCAGCGGGCTGCTTACGATGCTGCACCGCGCTTACATGTACTTAGGATAGGGGTACGCTTGATATATGAAAGTTTGTATATAGTAAAGTTGTCCATTGCACATTACAATCCAAGTGAGGGTGCGGAACGGTCTTGCACCGTCATTGGGTGCGTGGTTGAAGTGATGTTTCCCTGCACGGATTAGTGTTGTTGTTGTCGTCGTCCCACCCGCGACACCCCGCGGTCCGCCCAGCTATTTACCACGTGTAAAGACATCCCGAACGAACAAACATTGCCACCCGACAAAATGGCTTGTCTCTGCGCGGCCCTTCCTACTTTTCGCCCTTATCACCCTCATTGTTATTATCCTCGCGTGGCTTGCGGGCCTGGTTCTCATGGCGGCACGCTTTTCATTGGAATCATAGGCGCACCAGACTAAGAGCCCTCCTTTTTTTGGGGCGCCGCATCTGAAAAGTGGCGTTGCCTCGGGGCTGTTATGGTTGCTTCGAAACCTTCGGTCGTCGCGAAAACGTCCCCAGATCGCGAGGCCGCGCTGCCCGCCCCTTACTCTTATCCGCAACTGTTGGGGTTGATTTATTGAATCGCTTCGCTCATTCCGCCGGCCCGTGATATGGCATCGCTGGTTTTTGTCTGTGTGTTCGTTGCCCATGTTGCGCTCTTGGGGGCGGGTGTCGTTCGGACGCGTTGCGTGGGGAGTTTTGATGGTGAAGCAGTTCCCTGGGGGTCGTCTCTCGATGGGGCGAAATAGAGTCGTCGTCAAGATGCTTCTTTGGGGGGCCTCTTGGGGTCTGTTGAGAGGCCGTTCGGGGGCGCCTGGGAGACATGTTTGAAGCCTTCTGGGGCTTCTTTTGGGCCTCCTGGGAGTCTCCTGGGGCCTCTTGGCGACATCTTGGGGCCTCTTGGAGGCCTCTTGGGGCCTCTTTGGGACCTCCTGGGCGCCTTCTGGGACGGAGGGCTCCATTTTTGAGTTCTCGGTATCCCTCCTGAGTCCCTCTTGGGCCCGTCTTGGGGCCTCTTGGTCCGTCTTGGGCGGCACTTGGGCCGTCTTGAGGGCTCTCTTGGGTCGTTTCGGCGCCGTCTTGGGAGCTTCGTGGGCCGTCTTGGAGCGGTCTTGGGGGCCTCTTGGGCCGTCTTGGAGCGTCCGGAAGCCGAAAAAGCCAGAACACAAAAAACATAGAAAAAACCAATGAAAATCAACGATTTTGGCCTCTTGGGGCTCTCTTCGGAGGCCTCTTGGAAGGCTCTTGGGGCGTCTTGGAGGCCTCTTGGGCTGTCTTGGGGGCCTTTTGGGCCGTCTTGGGGTCATCTTCGGCGTCTTCGAGCGCTCTTTGGGCGTCTCGGGGGCCTCTTGGGCAGTCTTGGGGGCCTCTTGGGGCACTCTGAGCGCGCTCTGGGGAGCCTGAGAGGCCGCACCCAGAAGGAAAACCATCTCTGAGTAGACTTGGTCGGGCGGCGGTCGGGCGGCGGTCGGGCGGCGACCGGGCGGCGACCGGGCGTTGGTCGGGGTACTTTTCGCCGGGGGACCCCCAGGGGCCGCCCCGCGCGCGCGAACTAGAAATACCGTTAATACTGTTAACCAGTTACCGGAGATCTTAGCACGCCCTGGCCCGTTGGGCCGGCGAATTTTGTGCACGCGTGTACTTGAATGCCCACATGTTCACAAGGCCGCCGGGTCGGGGGGGATGGGGGCACGCGCATTTCAGCTCGGGTTGGCCACCGGGCTTCGGACTATGACCGGCAAGGCGTTCGCACAAGTTCGGGCCACGAGGGCAGGGACATTAACGTGGCATGGGCCGACGGTTCACATCGCATCACCAGCACGGTCGACATCATCGCCGCAGCCTTTCCGGCCCAAACCCAAGGACTTCAAATTTGCACAGATGACGTATGAGACGAAGACTCGCGCCCCACGACCTCAAACAAGTTGTTTCCTACCCAAAACCAAGCTTCGCGATCCTGGGTGCAAGTGGGACTGGTCGTTCTACGAGTGGAACGCCCGCACGAGCACGCCTCACAAGGAGTCTCTACTGAAGCACAAGGGGCCTCTTCTTACGTTGTTGAAGCTTGCGCCAATTGGTGCCCCATGCTTTAAGCAGCTCGGAGACTGATTGGTGGAATTGCATGCTGTGCGCGAGCAGTTTTCGCCGAGCCAAGGCATAGCGATATCCATATCCAAGCTTGATGGCAGACTGCATCGGGAAAGCGCCAGCGCTTGGCGCATCCTTTTCAAGCGCTGCTACAACCCCAAGAAAAACGGGGGCTCGCCGGAGGAGATGACCGAGCTCCTTACGCACATCGTTTTCCCAACGAAACGTAACGGCGAACCAGAGGGCAGCGCAGCGCCTCAATGTCTGTCCGCTTAGGCAGCGCCGTCTCGTCCAGTGGAGCTTCTTGCCCCCGATTTCCCCGAGGACCCCGTGTTCGACGAGCTACCTTGGCAGTGAATGCGATTTGCCCGAGGAGCCCGGGGGGTCCAACGCTGACTTTGAGCTGATCGAGACGAGCTGCAACTGCAAGGGGTGCGCGGCGGCCCGCGTGCAAGGAAAGGACAAGAAGAACGTTCGCATCTTCGACGATGACCCGCCCTCTGAAAGCGACGCGGCAGCGACTTCGATGAAGCGGGGCGGCCAGCGCATCGAGACCGCGCGCGAGAAGACAAAGGGCGTCGTCGAAAGCAGGAAGCGCTGCAAGCAGCCGCCGAAGGACACGGGCAAGGGCGAGAGCAATCATCATTCAACTGCGGCGCATCCTGCCCCGAGCCCGCCCGCGGCCACCCCCGGCGCGAATGCCGGGGGCCATCGAGCCATCGCAACTCCATCGAGAGCGGCGCTGCGCAACAACCTCGCCGGCAAAGAAGAGGCGCGCATTCGAGAATTCCATGGCGAAGGCGCGCGTTGCTGGCCAGCGACGGGGCGCAGGCGCTGGGCGTTTGGACAACGTCGAGGCCATCGAGACAGCCATCGTGGCTGGGGGCGCCAAGACGTTCGGCGAGGCGACGGCGACGGCCGCGCTCGGGGCGCTGTCGGGCGGCTTCTTCGCCCGGGTCGTTCGGGGAACTCGTCGGCCTAGGGGCGGGCCGAGGGGGGCCGCGAGCGCCCGCGCTGCCTCGCGTTTCGGCGCCCTCTACCCCGTCGCGCCCCTCATCGCCCACGCCCTTCCCCTTCTTTAGCTTCCTCGTTCGCTTCGTCGTTGCACTGTTGCTTGGATCTCCTCCTAGTCGCCCTGGCCCCCTCTATCCTCGCGCGCCCGCGGCGCTCGTGCTCCGCGCCCCCGCGCCGCGACTGGTCGCCCCGGCCTGCGCCGGGCAGGTTGCGGCCCAGTTCCGATTGGCGCTGAGTGGGAGGCAACGCCGTCGCCATCCGCGTCGCATCTCCCGCGCGGCAGACGCGGCAGCACGAGCGCAGACAACGCCGCGACAGGCGACGGGATCAGCGGCCACGCCGGCGCGACGGGGGCGGGGAGGGGCGAAAAGACGATGCGCAGAAGAGGTGGGCATCGGAAATGCGGGGGGGGGCGGCGGGGGAGGGGGCGCGCGGCGAGGGGGGGGCGAGGGGGGCAAGGGCGATCGGGAGTGGGGGCGCAAACATCAACAACGGCCGCAACGGCAAGCGCAATGTGAATCCGCCGCCAGCAGCAGCATCGAGCAATCTAAAAAAACAATGCGCATCCATTAAAGCCATCAAGAGACGCCATCGCGACTGCAGCATTTTCGGCCCATGTGCTGTCGAGGGTTCGCGCGAGGATCGGAACCGCGCCAGCTGCGCGCTGCCCGATCGGGCCCAACGACGCCGTCGGCTCTGCCAGTATCGGCGCGCGTTTGCGCGGTGCTCGCGGCGCAATCCGCAAATTTGACGGCCCGGGGGAAGTGGGCCGCCGCGGGGGCCTGCTGCCCTGGAGACGGAGGCGCCTCCAGAAGAAGCTCCGCCGCTGCTTGCGCCACAGACCCCGCCGCAAGATGCGGCGCCTGCGGCGACCGCCCCATGCGGCAGCGGCGCGTAAGTCGGCCCCGCCGCCGCCGCTATCGGGGCTCTCCAGGGCCAGTCATAACAATATCGATGGTCGCCTGAAAGTCTTCCCGCCAGAAATCGAGGGGGCCCGCGATAAGGCGAGGGGCGGAGTCAGTCCGGCGAGGATTGGGCGTCGCTGGCGGAGGGCCCCCGCTGCCGAGCCCAAAGTTGGCGCGCCCGAGAGCCTGCTCGAGACGGCCGCCAAGAACTAGACCGCCGCCGAGGAGGGGGTCGATGGGCAGCGGGCGTCTTGGGAAGTAGCTCGCGAGAAGGGCAACGAGGAAGTAGCGTTGGCCGCCC